ACGAATAAGGTCGGTGGCGCCTGGCCCTCGCGCCGTCCACAGTTGTTGCCGGAGCCGAAGAGGTGGACCGGGCAAGGCAGTCAGCTAGGGTCCCTTCGTGGTCGCCAGAAATTGTTGTCCCCAAAGGACAGTGAGTTCGTGCCCGGTGCGCTTGTGCCAATAAACACACAGGGGTGAAGGATCCAACTTAACCTTTATTTCCTGCGCAGAAAATGGTGCTTGGCAATCGTTCGCAAAGCAAGCACACCCACCCCAGTGGGCGTCTGCCTTATATAGCTACGTAACAGGTTAAACCTGCTGATGTGATGAGATGTGTAGCAAGCCCAGCAAGTAACCCCCCTTCCAGCTCCCTCCCAAGTAACCCCCCTTCCAGCTCCGGAACTTTGTTGATACAGCTTTTCCTCTAGCGAGGCCAGCAATTATAAACAACTAAGCAACAAGCGATCTCCCCCAGCCTAAACAACGTACTGTACGCCCTTGGTTAGATAAAATACTTTTTTCAGAACACAAAGCTGTTCCTGAAGTAGAAAATGCATAGTAAGAGTTCAAGGGATCTCTGCTGGACATGGCTTCCAGCCCTACCTCTGTCCCTAGGGGTTTAGCCAGGTGCCCCTGAAACAAGGGGTGCTTATCAAGATGATGGCATGATTTGGGCTCCTTGGGCTGTTTAACTACAAATCAATAGAAGAGAGGAAGCCTCTAGTCCAGGGCTGTTTGATTCATAAGGGAAATAAGAAGCAAATGGCAAAGGCAGGAAGAAGCCAGTCATGGAAGGATTAGTCATAAATCCAGTGTCATTGCATCACTCACTGTCTATTAGCAATGGTTCTTGTTGCATGTAGTCATGTCAGAAGATACAGGCAGGGTAGACTTCTCTGCAGTTTGGTCCCTGCTCTCTAGTATGATTTGCGCAGCCGCTGCATGTGCCTATGTGATGCCATAGGCTTATGTCTGTGGTTTCACAGGCTCAATGATGACCACAGGTCATTCTTACTATGATTAAGTGGGCATCCTTTTGCTTGCCATTTCTCAGCAGCCTGCAGTACTCCTGTCAAGAAGTGGTTTTTGTTAGTGGGATTTCCCAGTGTGCATTTACATAAAGTATGCATCCTGCAGTCTTTCACTTGCATGGCTGGACCCCTTGAAAAGACCTGTGCCAAGCAGCATGGACTCAGACCTCTGAAACATCTGCTCCTCCTTCAGCTGAGATGAAAATCTTCTTCTGATTTTGGATTAGGCCCCTGGCCCAAAGCACTGTCCATGTCTAAACCATGCCTTTCAAATCCTAATGACTCCAGAGAACCTATGTCACTCTCTTCCTGTTTTCCTGTTCAACCTGTGACCTTGCGCAAGTCATTCTGCTTATTCTGTGCTTCAGTTTTTTTTCTTGCTAAATAGGGAAGCTAGTGCAGAAATTCTTCCCAAGCCTTTGATAGAAACCAAAATGGTCTGCCATGGCCTGTTGTTATGGAACTGTCAAATTTTACCCACAGGAATGCTGCTCATATAAGAAACATCCCCCTTCATTCAGGGGATCCAAATCCAATGGTGCCCGAAGCCTGACATAGAAAACACCGCAAGTTCATTGGCTCAACAGTATTGGGGAGGGGGCTGCTGTCCTTTCTTTCTAGAGGTGCTGAGTCTGGGAGGTGTTCACTATAGTCCAGTGGTGCCAGAATTGTCATCCATGTTCCTTTATCCAGGCATGGGGCTGGTGGGGGTGGCAGAGATGGGGAGAAGGATTCGAGGTGGAGCTGAAAATGCTGAATCAACCCCAATGTGCCATTCTAGCAAATCATACCTGACACCCCATTCTGCTGGACTGCAGAAGGATCTACTCCAACATCTCCATCTGAGTTAGTGGCTTTACTGAGTTTTGCATCAGACTGAAAATTCCCAGATTGCAAAACTCTTTGGCATTAAGAAGGTGAGTCAATAGTTAAAGCATTCCCAGGAGGGGGCCCCCAAGGTCAGCCCAAAGCATTCTTTGTTGTGTCTGCAAGCAAGTCTTTAAATGACAAATAAAGAAGGTGTCAGATAAAGAAGGGTGTCCCTTTGGGTTTGATGGCCAGCCAGTCAGGGATCCAGAACAATACCATGTGAGGCAAATGCCTGAACACATGACACACAGCAAATACTACAGACCTGTGCTGACAAACAAAAACCTCCCCTGCAATGTTTCCCCAATCATTTTCCCTAATGAGCAAGCTAACAAAACAGCAATAAACACAGTCCAACAAGTATTCTAGCACAGGAATGGGGACAAAGACCCATCACAGAGGATTCATTGCAATCAACTCAACTGGCTTCAACCTAGAGGGTGGGAGAGGAACAAAAGAGCCAAGTAGTAACTGCTGGAGGAATTTACTATTGAGCTGCTAACTGAGGATTGGGTAGAGTTTGGAGATTGGGATCCAGGCTGAGTCTGGATCTTCCATACATTGACGTTTAAGAGCTTTTTTCTTACTATCACAGTGTTTTCCCCACATACTTTTATCCCCGTGAGAAATCATTTCCTTGCAAGTGTAAGACCCCCTATAAGCAACATTTCAGAGGCCTGGTTTATCAGGAAGGGAAGGGTGGATGGAATCATAGTCGGGGGGAGGCAGACTTTTCAGGAACATACTTGAGATTCAGGGTAGATGTGGAGCAGCGTTGCCATTTGTGCCCAGATCTGGAAGAGTGACACCAAGGATAGTCTCTTCTCTTGGGTGCTGGGTTAAGACTTAGGAAACTTGGCTTCAAGTCACAATTCTACCGTGGACCTTGTGTATATTAGCTTGGGCCAAGTTTTGCAGGCTCTCTGCCTCGATTTACCCACCTCTAACATGGGGATGATAGCACTTTAGTCTCTTAAAGATGATGGTGGAGCACTTAGATAACTGTGGTTCTCATAAATACCTTGGATATATGTGAAACTGGGGGTGTAGTGGTGTTGAGATGAGGCTCTTCTCTGCTCAGGAGCAGAATGTGTTCTGATTTCACATTTCAGAGATGATGGCAGGCTAGAAAATGGTGGAAGAGATGCCTCTGACCATGAGAGAAAGGCTTGAGGACTGACTGGGAATGGATTATGGAGCTTTCTGCATTTGGGACAGTTCAAGTTCAGTATGAATCAGTAATGACTGAATGAGGCTCTGCTGCCTGATACGGGTGCTGGCCAGCACAACTGAGCTATGTCACCATGTTGGAGGTTGCAGCCCTGACCCTAGGTACTGTGTCTCTTTGTTGTGAAAAACACATTGGAACAACTTGGTGCTTCAGCTGAAAGGCTGAGTGCAGCATGAGTCATGGAGGCTAAACTGTCCTGTCAGTCCAGAAGGCATCTCCTGCAGGGCAAGGGTGAGTGATGTTGAGATGCAGCAGCACAGGAAGGGAACAACTGTGCTGGGCTAAATGGGAAGCCTTCCACCCCCAAGAACTTCAATCCAGCCTTTGGCCCGCACATGGGTTCATATGTCTAGGATGGGGGGTGCCATCTGGAGTCAGACTGTGCACCTAAAGGAGAGGCATCCCCATTTCAAATCCAGGTACCCAGAGCCCAGCAGAAGAAGATTTGGAGGGGAACAGGGTAGGGACTGGCTTTAATTATTAGCCTATGGAGACCTGAATGATGAGGTGAGGGGAAGCACAGGTACACAGCCTGAGGACAAGATCTTGCTGTGTCCCCCACAGCTAAAGGCAATTCCTCCCGCACCCCCACCTTTTGGGAAACCTAAAATCCAGGTCTTAACTGCAAGAAAGGAGCATGCCACCTGCACAGCCCTGCTTTGCTTTTGTTTTGATCAGCAACCTCCTTTTGATCCCTTTTGATCCCTGGGGGGGGAATCCCTTCCTTAGGGGAGGGGGAGAGGGGGTGGAGGAGGAGGATGGGGGAAGGGGGGAAACTGATCTCTCCGGACTCACTTCTTGAAGACACAAGCATTGCAGGGGTGGGACTCCTGCAGTCAGGGGGTGGGCTTGAATGAATGCAGTGTTGGGCACTGCCACGCATCTCAGAGCAGCACCGAGTGAGGCTCAGCAGCACAGCGTGCGTGTGGATGGGAGCAGGGGAGCTCCACTTCTTCAACCTGGAAACAATCTCTTGGAAAAATCCATTCCTGCAGCCAGCTCATTCTTTTCCTCTTGGAAGGAGCAGCGGAGGAGAAGGAGGGGGGCTGGGGAGGGGACCAACCAAGGATGCTGATTTACAGGAGCCACTGAAGGCTCCCTTTGCTTCTGAGGGCTGCAGGGGGAATATGCCACAGGGGTTGGATTTGTAAGGAGCCTGGCCTGAACTGCAGAGTTTGCAGGTTATTAGTGCTGCACCAAACTCTGGGCTTGGGTAAGTGCCATGGGAGCGCTCGCTGTCAGTCTCAGCCTCCATTCACCTTAGCAGGCAGGAGCTGTCAGGATTGCTAAGGCAGGCATTTCCCCGGGGCTGCTGCTCGTGGGGTGCATGTGTTCTGCTGCATGCTGGCTTCTCTCTCTCCTCCTTTCCTCCCACCACCCCCAACTGTCCAGGGCTAGGAGCAGCCAGAGCTTCAGAAGCTTCCCTTTGTTGTGGAGGGGTCTGGTAGCTAAAACAATGGAAACTTTCCTGGTGTTATTGCTGTTCTGCGGGGCTTGTAAGTGTGGGACCCCCATCAGACTGCATGTCCTTGGGACTCACTGTGCCTCCCAAGCTGAAGGTAGCCTCCTCCTGAAAATCTCATTAGGATGTCGGAGCTTCATGTGTGGGACTGGTACTGGAGCAGAGGAAGCCCCAGGGCAGGAAATGGGGTGAGGAGCTGACTCCTGGGGCATTCATGGCTTTGAGTAGAGGAATCTGCTTGGAGGTGTATCAAAGACATGGAAAGCCTGAGAGTGTTAGGCTATCCAGCCCAAGAGCTGATGCAGGCTTCTCCTTGCCGGTCCAGTTTCAGTGCTTTGGCTTCCAGCGTACGCTGTGTGTACCACTGAGGCACAGAGACACCCTGCTCTCTGATGCTATGACTGCTCTAAGAGAGGCTTGCGGGGCAGTGGGGAGGGGGTTTTCCTTTTGTGGCAGGCATAAGTAGTAGTGTCTGCCTTTTCCTTGCCTTTAAGCCTTTTGTGTAGTTTTCACTCTACTTTGGGGCAATGTAGAGGCCACTGCTGCCAGGTACTGGGGTCATGGAGACCCACCACCATGGGGCACAAAGCAACTCTGATCTCTGTCAAATCGCCTTCATGAGGTCCAGGCAGTGAAGGTAAGGCGATGAAGGGGGTTGTTGATAGAGTTGCATGGGAGGGGAGGTAAAAATGAATACCAGATGCCAGACCTCTCCTGTGGAGCATTGCCTACAGTCGACTCCTACAACAGCACACTCCCAGGTTACACAGGATTGGATAGCTCAGTATTGCCTGGCTAGTTTGCACGGATCAGGCTGGTAATATCATGCGGCTACTGCTCCCAAGGGAGACTGTGAGAGAGCTTCAGCTCTGCTTTTGTTTTTTACCCTCCCAAGCAGTCAGGATCTGAGCATGGGATGGGATGCTGTTATCTGCCTAATGAATTCCCTTTGGCAGTTATTGTAGCTTTCCAGAGGGAATCCAGTCCCACGGCAGTGAATGCTGTAGGAATGCGGAGAGGAGAGATTAAGGTTGACTGTGTGTGGAAATGCATTGGGTTCATTCCTGTATGGGGTAGAGATCAAGGCAAAGCGGCTTGACTCAGCTTTCTCCCTACCCTCTAGGGCTGGCTGAGGGGCGGGTTCAGTCCCTGACCATTTAGACTGGTCCCGAGGCTGCAGTAAATTATCTGTGGGTCAGTGGCCCCCACAGGAGCCATCCCAACAGCTGGGGATGGCCAGAGTCCAACACTGCTCTCTGCATGCTCTCTTAGCCTGGGCACGCCCCCTTGCCTGGGAATCACAGGGGATGGTGGGATTTCCCAGTGCTTGGAAATCCACAGAAAAAAGCCAAGAGAAGCAATTCGATGGCCTTTTTTTTTTTTTTGAGCTGCTCACTTGGAATGAAGGGGATGAGACTGGGCTCTGTGGATGTGCTGTGTTTCAGAGCATGCTGAATATGGTTTGTGTGCATGTGTAGTACACGTATACTGGGGCTCTGCAAGTTGGCTCTCACTCACATGGATGCATGCAGGGTGGACCGTTTCAGCTGGACTGAAGGAAATGCAGATCCATTTTACTGAGACTTGCTAATGAAAGGGGCCAGCCTCTGGGATGCAGGGGGCGGGGGATGGTGGACTCAGAGCCTGGGGACTGAGGAACTCTCTTTTGCATTTGTGGGGCAGGGCTGGCTGCTGCTTTCAAGTCTGGGTGCCTTGTGCACCTGCTGAAATCTTTCCAGCCAGATCAGGGTTCCTCTGACAGGTCCCACCTTTGGAAGGAGGGAATGCTGTTCAGACAAGGGAGCAAGGGGGGCCTCCTCTCTGCACAGAATAGCTGCTCATTCCAGTCACATGTGGGTCTTCAGATCAGGGCTGGACAAACTGAGAACGTGTTCTCCTTTAAGATTCCCTCCAATGCTTCCAGCTGGTCTATTGAGCAGCTTTGGCTGTAATATGGCAGCACTTCATTTTCTTCTTGAAACCCACCAATGTGTTGTGCATTTTCTGAGGTACGATGCCCATCAGGAGAGATTCCCTTCTACCTCTCTGTCCCTCAACTAGCCAACCCTTTGCATAGCTCCACCTTCACTCCAGAGGTGAGTCACTTACTGCTGTGTCAAGGAGAGAGGACACATGGTGTTTCCAGAAGGTTAGTATCCTCTGAGCTATGTGACTGAGCTTTTTGTCTTGGGGACAGTCCCATGCTCTGGATTCGTACAGCACCTGACATAATGGGGACTTAATTTCAGTGGAGACCTCTAGTCATTGCCATAATAGAAATAATAATAATCGTGTTCATTAAGCAGGCCCAGAGTGCTTGATTCTCAGCTGTCCTCCTGGCCTGACTGCAAAGCACCTTCTGTGGGGGGGAAAAACCCTCTAAAAACACCTTGCATTGGAACTTACCACAGCTCAGCACCAGCAGTGTGATAAGAGTTAGTAATTCACATCATGGGCCTACCTGGTAAACCTCAGCAGCTCGCTGTGATAAGAGTGTGATAAGAGTTAGTAGGATAGCCTCATACTCGACCATGCCTTGTTTGCTTGAAATCTGTCTCTGGGACATAATGTGAGCTCCCTGATGTTTATGAGAAGTGCATGATCATGGGTGCATGTAGGACCTGAACTACACTGGTAATGTTGTCAAGCAGCCATGTTTTCCTCTGAAATGCTAACAGTGAATTTAGCACAGATGGATAAAAAGCAGTGGTGAGAGCAAGGCCTAGGACAATACCCACCACCCAGCTGTGTCCATGTCTTCTTCTCTGGCAATCCCTCACAGTCAAGGATGATTGTCTTCCATGAATGTCTTATCTGTGTGTCCAAAGATGGTTGATAAGGCTTATCTGGGATCAACAGACTCTTTTGCAACTCAGACATGTGTTTCTATGTGGGGAGGGTGGCTCCGGATTCTTGACTTGGTCCACAGCATGCTATTTCTTCCGCTCCCACTTTTCCATCTCTTGTTGTCTTCATAAGGTTTCAAAGTACTCCGATTCTTGCAGCAAACTCTTCCTCCATTTGGGGCAGTCCTGGGTGATAGTCTCCCACAAGTTAATGTTGATGTTGCATTTTTTTTTCAAGTTGAGGTGTTTTTTCTGCCCTGCTTTGGGGTACTTTCTCTGCCCTCCTCTTGAGCACATGCCTTGACTGACCTAGGAGAATAACATTTGCTTCAGGAGTTTGAAGTCAGACATCTGGATGATGTGGCTGGCCCAGGCAAGTTGATGTTAGATGGTCATCTCCTTGATGCTCATGGTTTTTGCTTGTGAGAGGATGCTAATGTTGGTGTGTCTGTCTTCCCACTGGATTCAAAGGATCTTTTGCAGGCAGCATTGATGGTACTTTTCCAGTGACTTGAGGTGTCTTCTGTATGTTGTCCACATCTCAGCTCCATATAGTAAGGTGGGGATCACAACTGCCTGATAAACCATGAACTTGGTTTTGGATCTGATGCCACAATCTTTGAACACCTGTTTCCTCAGTTGTCCGCAAGCTGCACTTGCACATTTCAGGTGATGTTGAACTTCTTCATCAATGTAAGCTTTCTGCAAGAGGTAGCTTCTTGAAGAGCATTGTGTCAGTGTACCTCCATCCTGATCTGCAGTGCTCCTGCTAAGAAGACGACTTTCCAAGACCCTGGTGCACCTCTATGATGACCTACAGGCTCCCCGTTGTGTTGGGATTAAGAAATACCATAGTGGGTCAGGTAGCGGGTCCACCTTACCTAGTATTTCACCTCTCAGCAGCAGTGTGTGGAGGGCAAAGGAAAGAGTATTGAAAGAGGACCTGTCCAGATAGAGGTGTCCCATGTCCTTCTCCCCTTACAGCCTTCAGCATTCAGAGGCCAAGGAAGTCCTCATTTGGAGGTTGTACATCTGTCATGTTTAATGCCTGTGATGGGCCGGGCCTATCCTGCATGGATTTGTCCAATCTCTTTTTGAACCTGGTTAACCCAGTGTTGTGCTGCCCGTCCCCTCACTATAACTGCCCTATGACTCCCTTCCTCCAGTTCCCTTCCTAGGCTTCATTGACAATTCCATGTCCTCGCACACCTTGTTGGCATCAGCTGGGGCAGAATCTGGACCCACCTTCTTCAAAATCTCAGGCCTCTACCACCTCAGCTAAAGGAGACACCTCGTTAACAACAGTAGTCTGAAGGGGTATAGGTCCCCTTGTATAACAGCTTTCCAAGTAGAATAGGCTCTCCAAAGCTGGATGGAAATTGTTTGCTTTGGTTCACTGAGCTTCGTGTTGAGATAGGTTAAATTAGGCTGGCACAGGTCCTGCCCTGGGTTTTACTTTGGATTTATGGTTTTTCCTGGTTTTCTTTAGAAGGGTTTGGGCAGCTCAAATGTTCTCCCCTGCAGAATGCCCATTGCTCTACACCAGGTGTTGGCAAGATATGTCCTACAGCCTGATCAAGCCCACAGAACCATTTAATCTGGCTCACAGATATGGGGCTTCAGAAATATTTGGCAATGGGGCTATGGTAGCAGTTGCTTTCCCCTGCCACCACGGGGAGAAGTGCTGGCTTGGGTGTCTTCTCCATGCCAGAGCAACTGGGCCCTATCACCCACCTTCTTGTGTCTGACCAGACCTGGGTTTTTCTAGTCCACAGCCTCAGAAGGCTGCTGACTGCTGCTCTAGAGCACAGTGGCTTTCACAAGAAGACCAAACTTGTTTCATCTGTGAAGTAGACTATACAACATGTGACCTCTGACAGTGGGAAAGGTGGGAGCATGGGAGAA